ATTTTATTTTTTACCATTAAAAAGTTACAATAATGTGTATGAAAGATGAGAATGCATGAATTTCTTAGAAATCAAGCTAGCCATGATGGTTCATTCAAATGATCGCTCATTCAGATTTGATTTGAAGAAAATTTAGTTCAATCATAGCCCTTAATGCCCCTTGAGAAGCTTTCCAAAGCCATAAAAAAGAATTGCATTGATTACTCAGTGCATATATGAGTTAAGGTCCTGATTCTTCTTCAAGAAGCTCATGATCCCCTGATCTCAGGTCCGGGGTACAAACAAAGAACTCTAGCAGATTGTAGACGGGCCCCCTACTGAATGGGTTTTGGAACTTGCCTTTTTTGTCTCTGAGATATGGATATCTTTTGTAGTTGAACATTTCATTAGTTGTGAGATTGAAGCAAGCATGCAGAACCTGTTGGTGAAGAGCAAATCTATAGTAACAATTGTCTCTGTTATGTTGAAATTATTCACATTGTTCAGATGCGCCACTAAGACTTACTGATGTGCATGTTAAAATCCATCCTAGACAACAAAAGAGTAGGGATTCTAGCAGACCAAGTACATATAGGAGCTGGAAACCTTCAATTGCTATGCAATAGCAAGCAAAATAAACTGTCAAAGAACAGTTTATTGCAATGCTCATGACAAATAAGAAGAACCACATCCTTATGGAATAGTGAACAGTACAAAAGTAATTAATAATTTTTTTTTCAGGAAATACATAAATAAAATCCATATACCGCTAAAAAGTACCTGTTTCGAAGGCCAACACAGTTATAAATGAATGGGCAATGATGATCAAAGTACTGCACACATCTATTGCAGTATCTACAGTGCTTTGCTCGAAGAGGCCTGATACATCTGCAGGAATGGCAAAGTCTAGACAGTATGATGGGCTTTTTCTTGTATTTGTCAAAATATGGAATCTGCAGCACAGGGAAATACAAAATCATTCAAACAAAACCAAATTACTTTTTTTTTTTTTTAAAGAATCATTCTTTACATTGTTATTCCAACCTGTTTGATGGCCCGAATATATCCCTCTGTGTCTTGTGGAACATATCCTGGGTCTCTGCGGTTGGCAATGACCCAGCTAAGCCACATAAGCAAATTCCAGTAAATGAAACAGTAATGTGATCCTCTCATTAAATTCCATGTGATGGGGACACACTGTTAAGGCAGAAAATCAGATTAAGAAGTTTTGGAAAATAATTATTGAAGTCATTGTGATCTGAGTAGAGAAGTGGATTCAAAAACTAAAGCTTAGCTGGTGATAAAAATATGTTGACAACCTAAGTACACTACAACTAAAACATTGAAAAATGTGGTGCTTTCTAAAAAACAACAACAAACAAAACCTACTGTGCTTTGTTGGTAAAACATAAAAGCATATTTCTTAATTTTTATTTTTTACAAAAATAAGATCTAAAGTAAAGATCTAAGTAAAATCTACCTCTACAGGGTGTCCCATCCCACTCAAGACAGGACTTTTGCACTACAAGTTCAAATAAAACATCTCGCTGCGGGTGGCTAGGCTGTTGGGTGAAGTCTCTCATCTCTAGCTCTCCCATGCGAGCCAAACTTCTGAATCCAGAAAAACAGCCTAGTCCGTAGCAGAGCAAAATGAATTCAAATTAATGGCGCAAAAATCCAACCTTGAATGGGACAACCTGTACAGTTTTTTTTTTAAAACTACTGTTATGAAGCTTATAGCAAGGAAAATTACCCTAAATAAGTACATGGGATATTCCCACAAAAGGAATGATCCTAAGAAGAAAAGAAGTGGTCCCTTTGAATTTCCAGCACCACCAAACATCAAACTCCTAGACGTACATAACAGGAAATTATGTAGTTTTTAAAATGTGTAGTCAGAAGTAAATCAAACCATTATGATCATTGCGTCCCTACCATATTTCTGTAATTGGTGGCATCCATCTTGCCCGTCGATTTCGTTCAGTTGTCAAAACCTGCACAATGTCATTGTGTTGGTGGCTCTTTGCAAGCATAAGGGGTGTCTTGCCATTTTTGTCACGTGGTTCCAACTCGATTTTACTCTAAAATTTAGAGAAAATAATTGTGGTTAGATAATTTCTTTTATGCTTGAGAATAGAACACCCATTTTACTTTGTCTTACCTTCTCACAAAGGATTTTGACACAACTCATATTTCCAGAGAGACAAGCAAGGTGAAGCGGTGTAGATCCAAAGTTGTCAGCTTTTTGCAAGTCTACACCAGCATAAATCAGCAAGCGAATCAAATCAGGATGCCCTTAAAAAAACACATTTGACACAATTAAAATTTTTGTTTTATCTTTATGCTTAGAATAAGGTATATTAAATTATTTTTACCTTTATAAGCAGACCAATGTAATGCTGAGTCTCCATTTATATCTGTGAGGTGATGGTATGCACCCATCCCAAGGAGGTACGCAGCAGTTGCTCCTCTTCCAAATACACATGCTGTCATCAATGGGGTGAGACCTTTAAAGTCTGCTGCATTCACTCCTACACCAGCCTGAAATATGCGTCACATTTATTTTTAAACAGAATACTTAAGAAGTTTGGTTTCAAAGCCTTGAAAATTTGATATGTATTTGTTAGAATTATAATAATTACCTTTAGAAGAACTTGCACAATGGCAGCATGTCCTTTACGGCATGCCCAGTGAATTGGCCTTTGACCCTGAGTACCAAGGCAAGATAGATCTACGGGAGCACCTCGTTCTACAAGATATCTCATAACTGGGAGATTCCCATCTAGGGCGGCCCAGTGAGCAGGGGTGTAACCCCACTCATCTCGAGCACTGAGAATTTCAGAGCCATGTTGTTCGACTAAAACCTCGAGGTCACATACTTCGCTGTTTGCATGTAATCAAGTAATAAAGAATTATGTGAACTCTATATTCTAACAGTTTTTGAAGAGGGTTTCTAATAAAGGAGCAAACTCACCCTGTTCTGACAATATCAAATACTGATTTACAGTTGTGTGTCATATGCACCTCTGCTGCATCTGAGCAACATAGTATGTTGCTGTCTTTCCCCTCATTGACGGTTGTTGAGGAGTGGTCCGCAACCATGTTTGTGGCTGTTTGCAAGCGCCAGACACTGCGAGCAGTGCCTGGGCCTGGAAAAACCTTTCCGTTCGTAATTTTTGCTGACTTTTAAAACAAAATGTAGGAACAAAACTCCGTTTTCTTCCTCGTGATCTAAATATTTCTTCTGACAAAAGGCGAACTGTCTTCTGCTGTGTCGTCTGCATTGATTATTTCTTCTTACCCAAAGCCTTATCCTTTCTGCGCATGCGCGACTTTTTTGTCGGCTGTTGAACAGTGTTAGAAGGCTTATAGTTTTTGTTTTGGTCTGGCAGCAAGTGTCAAATTTGTCAGGCAAAGACTTCGTATTTTCTTGAATTATCACTCTTTGAGGGTTAAGTTTTACTTGCTGAGGTGCTTGTAAAGTCATGGATTCTGATGGACTCCCTATGATAGGGGCGGGCGTTGATTACACTCAAGTATGTTCTTTTACGTAATCTTACTTCTCTTCTGCTAGTAGAATATTTCTAGGTTAATCAAGCTCTGCGCAATCGTTTCAGGTTGGAGCTATACATCAAAAACGAACTCTAGCTTTCATAAATTACTTTATTACCAATACTGTATCATTTTTAAATAATTTCTCAAGATCTTGTGAAGTACGTCTTCAAAAATACAATGCCAAATTGCAAAGACTAGAAGCATGTATGGAAATACTGGAGGCCAAAGTAAGTTCCTAATAGGAGGATTCGTGAAGTTCCTATCTTCATGAAAAACACATGTTTTTTTTTTATCAATCTTCTTTGACTGTATATCTAGCTGTCATCTATTCCTGGCTTGGATGATGCATCGACCATAGTTGACAAATCAGAAGCTCCAGGTGTACCTTTGGAAAATAGTAATTCAACAGCTGTCGCAGCTGATTTAGCACCTTCAGATCCAGTTGTTATCAATGAGGTAACTATTGTCAGCTTTGCTTTGTCTTTTAATATACACGTTCATTCATTCAACATGTTTCTCAGATTGTAACAGGTGAACTACCACAGGTCCCTGAGATGACTGACGGAATGGTGTTTGCTAAAGATGATCCCACCTACAAGAAATTCTTCAAAATGTTGCACGTTGGTGTTCCTGAGCCTGCTGTGAAATTGAAAATGCAAGCCGAGGGATTGGATCCTAATATCCTTAAGTATGAGTACTATTCTGCATTTAACTCAATTTTTTTTTTTGCAATTGACAAGGAACTAATTATGTACTTTAACTTCCTAGCAACCCTGAACAATTAATTCCATCGTCCGTGGATGAAGAGGCCTGACAAATTGGATTGTGATATTGTTAGAATTTACTTTTTATACTAAATATTAAAAGTTTACACCATCAAAAGGATCTTGTAAGTGAAATTACTTTGAGATTTTTGTCCTTTCTTTTGCTGTCGTTGCAATACTTTGAAAGTGTGATGTTAGGAACAAATTTGTCACAATATCCATAATGCTTGCAAACGAATGGGGTAAAAGACAAGAGAATTGGATTTTCACTTATTTAATAACGGAAAGATGATACAAAGGTTTAGCGCCTAGAACTGGATCATCTGACCCTGTAAAAATAGAAACAGTGCATTAGAATACAAGAGACTAATTCATATTGAGGTAAATTGATAGGGAAACACAAATGAAACAATATTGAAATACAATAACATTTAACAGTAACAAATTAAAAGGAAAACAGGTTAAAATACAGATCTATCCATAAATAGACTATAAAAATTACAAAATTTCAGAAGAGGGGGTCATGGCATTGTCAAATTGAAAGCAACCAAGGTTAAGGAGGGAACTTAAATTGTATGTAAAGAAAACTCAAGTATGACATACCTTCCTCTTCCTGTCACCACCAAGTTCGAAGTGCTTGCAGCGCTTGAGGGGAATCTGCTTCCTGAACTTGCAGTCGGAACATTCCATTCTCAGTACAATCTTCTTGGTAGTCTTAGCCTACGCAAACGAAAGAAGCAGAACGAATTAGAGACGCAAAAATACAAAAAAGAGAAGTTCCATAAAACTTGCTATCGCATACCTTCTTTCTGAAGATGGGTTTGGTCTGACCACCATAACCCTGTTGTTTGCGGTCATAACGTCTTCTACCCTGGGAAGCTGTCCTTTCCTTAGACTTCTTGTACTGGGTTACCTTGTGAGGCTTGTGCTTCTTGCATTTTTTGCAGAAGGTTTTCCGCTGCTTCGGAACGTTCACCTAGAATTAAAACAGACATGAGATACTTCGCTTGCACCCCCCCAAAATGCCTGTGAAAATCAGAAATCTGAAGAACTCCGCAGATATTACTGAGATAGCAACGGGTAAGGGCTCAAGGGATGGTCCGGTTACAATTAAGAGGGCAAAATTCGGAACAGAACATACGGACACAGGTAAACAAAGTAAGGCGACCTAACCTGCGCCGGTAAGTACCTCCGATGATTTAAACTACTGGCAGGTACGATATGCTAGCCCCAAACAGGACATAATGTTAAAATATGAAAAACAACAAATAACGAAGAGTAGGGCGAAATTTTAGAAAATTATTACTTCAGATCTAGCGGTACACGTTGTATACACTTCATACACGAATCAACGTCATACCATACTAAAGAAATATATTTTCACAAAAGCTCTTTTTCTCAATCCGAGGGCATAGATAGAATACAGAAACGAAAGTACATAATTTAAAGGATTCAAATATTTATCGATGTCTTAGGATAAAAGAACTCATATCTTAACCTACCATTTTGAAGACTAAACTCCAAAGGAAGTCGCTATGGCCAGGAAGTGAAACATGGAAGAACGCCGCTGCCTTGTGCAAAATACAACTCAATGTGGGTGTGAGACCATAATCATACGGCCAGGTATTTCAACAGTGCTCCATTCTTATTTTGTAAATGTTAGCTATTATTGATTATTTAAAGTTTAGATCTTCTAGGCTTTCTTAATAGAAACCGTTTCTTGAATTTCATTAATATAATCACTTATTTATCAATTTTTCCATAAAGGTTTGGGTGACTGTACTGTTTGGTGCTGGAGCTTGAGCGTAGATGAGTCGGTTTGGTTCCGTGTACTAATAATACTTGCTACTTGCTGTTTATTTAGTTTAGATAAATAAACATTAAGGCGATGGGAAAACTTATGTGTGTATACATTTATATGTGAGTGACGGAACAGCGTGTAAATAGTTGTTATTGTGTTATTGTGCCTCAGTCGGCACCGAGTTTTGGCACCTACATTTTGTTTATTCATTCGCGGGTTGCTTCAGGTGCGCTGTAGGAAAATAGCCGGTGGTTCACAGGAATAGATTTCAATTTTCACACTAATGTGCATAAATCTTAGCTTGAGAGATTATTTGTCGAATCACACTCTGATTGCCGCACGCCTCACATGACGCTTACAATTGACTCTACTGATCAGACGACCTTTAGAGAAGTTCTTTTTAGTGCTTATCGAATGATGATGTGAACACCTCTATTGCATTAATCGGATCTTTATAGAACCAAGGGTTAGTTTCATGGTACAAATCTGGATGACAATACTTTTTTCATCGCTAAATCTTATTTTACATCCCTTAACGTCACAAACCGCAGACGAAGTTGGCTGCTGGCTTTAAAAACCCATACGGCTAGCAGTGGTCCTCCCTGCTGTAGCCTCCAACCCAAAGTCGATTTAGCCGGGGCTACTCTCCAACCCCTCGTCAGATTTGTTTAAAATCTTACTTTTAAACTGAGATTCGTATTTTGGTCAACATATTGATTTTTTAGCGCATTAATTTTATAAGAGCATTTGATTTTCCTCTTCTCTCACAACCTTTCGCTTGTGATCGCGAATTAACGTAATCCACCAATCAGTGGTCCACCGAGCTCCAAGCCCGCGCCATCTTCGTTTTGAACAAAGGCAGCCCAGTTGTGCGGTAGTGCAAGTTCACCACAGTTTCCTCAGAAAACATGAGTACCAAGGAAAATAACTCCGAAGTTGCCGTTGACAAAGTCACGGAAAACAATGACAAGGCTGGAGGAGATGCCAAGGCCGAAGTAAAAGGAACCAAGAGGCCGGCAGAGGTAAGTAAATATATTGTGGTTCATGGACTCGTGCTTGATAGCTGTGATCGCCGTAGTTGGATGCGGCATCATCTATGTTTAACCACGAGTAATGACTTGTATTTGTTAAAATTCCGTTTCTGATGCCGTGGGTTTGCCCTACACTAGTGAGGGTACTTAGATTTTGTTACTTGCAAGTTGTGAAAGTGATAACTGGCTGTTACGGTTTTGGCGGTTGCCATGTGAGGAGCCGGCTAAAGCCGGCCGGCGCCGGCGTCAGCACCTCGGCGTCACCAGCTCAAAGTGCCTCTCTCTGTTTCCATTTTCCATCTCGCTAGTTTTCCCTGCGTTACGCTTTTCTCTGCGTCGACCGTAGTTTTCCGTGAAAAGTGGGGTTATCGTACTCGTAGACATGGCGGTGGGAAGCTGCTGTATGACGCTTTGCCCGACGCGGCCAGGGGGGCGTCCTTGGGAGTGGGGCCGGAGCGTGAAACTCTAGTTTTCTCCGTGTTTGCTCCTGCTGTGCTCTTTTCGGGTGCTATTGTACCTCCCAGGCATGACCATTTCTATCTGGTACTCGCGCTCGTAGGTTTCGTAGCGGGACGCCCGCGTCGGGCTTGTTTTGCCGGGCCGGCGGCGGCGTCCCGCCAGAACGACGCCGAGGCCCGTGGTGCCGCTCGGACCCCGTTTGGGGCCCTGCGCTCGTCCCTGGGGCGCGTTTGCTCTTGTCGCTAGAGGTTTATATTGTTTTGTAATCAAAATTAGTCGCTTTCGGCGACGGGGGTCTTCTGCTTGTGTGCGGCCGTGGAGGTTAGGGATTGCAAATGACCTTGTGAGTTGTCAAAATCGCGGCGTGCTCGCGATATGCGTGCGGATGGCTGTTTGTCGTCGAGTTGCGATCTCTACTTCTCAGCCACTAGCAGCATCGTGGAAGGGGAGGTTATAGCTAGTTGCAGGATTGACTTTCACGGGTAGCTCACAAGTGACATAGGATTCCCGCTCCATTTCATGTCGTACAGTGTCAACTGAATGACGTGTTGTATGTATAGTCTCCTTGGAGTTACGTTAAATAGACTGATGAGACTTAATTTTATTTAATTATGACGTTCCAGTTACAAGTTGTCAGCCCTCTCGTCGCTGTTTGATCTTGTTCAAAAGAAATTGTGGGTTATTTTAAAATTATTTTATTGGGCTCTGTGGCTGTGTAACATTAACGTTTTATTTTTCTGGCTTTCCCACAATTTTCTAGATGGCATTTTCTCTAGTAGGGGCTGGAGTTTGCTCGTAGTGTCACCCCCCACCCCGGCGATTCCTCTGTCTTCACCCCTTTTCCTTTCCCCTCTCCCATTTTGTCTTCCTCTCTCCGTTCGTTCTCCTCCCTCACTCCCTCCGCGCCGCCTCTCCCACCCCCTGTACGCCGCCTGTCCACCCCAGGCTTCTTCCCCCACCCCTCCCTCCCTGGGCCCCTGTGCCGGTGTTGTAGTGGCGGTGCCGCGGCAGGGCCAGGCCCGGGTGTGGCGGCGGTAGCGGTGGCAGCAGCAGCCGGTTGGGCTGAGCTTGGGAGGCATCCTGTTCGGCGTTGCGCTTCGCGCGTGCTCCAACGGCGAGGTTGCGTTTGAATCGGATGTCTTCTCTCTCACTCCCCTCTACGGGCACGAAACCACGGGCTGCTTCCGTCTCGCTCGCTCTCGCATGGTTGTAGGGCGGCTAGGGTGCCCGCTGAGCGAGCGCTGGAGGGTGGGTGGACCCCAGCGCTGGGGGAAGTAGTGGAGGGGGTGCAGAGGGAAGTTCGGGGAAACTTCAGTTGAGAATTATGCCCGAATTCTGCTCAAGTAGGTCTTGAATCAATTCTCTCCTCTCGCCAACATATGGCTC